ATTCTTATCGTCGCTGCCGGCCAATACTACCAATATAGATTTCAGATCTACTTCCTCCTCTTCCCCTCTTTTTATTATTCTTATCGCCGCTGCCGGCCAATACCACCGATCTAGATTTCAGATCTACTTCCTCTTCTTCTTACTCTTTTATTGCCGCCACTAGTACCAGCAATTAAGTCTTCTAACTCTTCCTTCTCCCCTCTTCTTATTCTGGAATTGGGCTAAATCTAGGATGGCATGGCCGCCAGTTATAGGAACCAGAGCAGAGACGATAGCTGACAAGGGCAACTTTTAGGCCATAATATCAATAAAAGTAATATTTTTAATAAATTTTAAAAAATAAATTAAATTTTAATAAAATTTGAATCCACTCCATATTCTCTCAAAAAAAATCCTTGATTCAACGCTTTCCCCTGCTTCTCCAAGGATGTCATGTTTCTGCCATCGTTGCAGCTTGAAAGGAACGGGAACTTTTGTCAAACACCCCATTGATGCCATTTATCCCTTCGTTTCTATTTCCGTTCCTCTCCAGCAACTCCAACTCCTCCGTTTTCAAGCAGAATTCTTCTTTGCGGACGCAATAGCTTCTCTACCTCCTACTCGGCGGAAATAAATGGCATCAACAATATTCTATCAATGGCTACCACCGGCGTAGCTGTTCTGCCACTTTGCTAGGGGCTCTGCTCTTCGTCTTTCATAAAGCTCTCGTAAAAAATTCCTAGTACACACACAGAGTCAAAGAGAGCTTGCTAGAATCGAGAAAGCTAGCACAAGCACCAACTTGATGATGGAGAACCTTCATAAGATGCCGGAGACGATGGCCGGAAGATGGGTTTTGTCATCATAATCAGAATTGTTCAAATAGACGATGCAAGCCATCTTCAGAAGGTTCCAAAACATATGCTACTGGAGTAGATAAGCTGGAGATTAATCCATTAAAATCGGTTCCAATATGGTTGTCGTTGATATCACTGAATTCGGGGTTCCGGATTGTGTCCAGCTCGGTGGCAACAATATGATTGCCTGGATTGTTAATGTTGGTGATATTGAACAAACCGAGAAATTCGCTATGCATGGCTGCAGGCAGATCTTTTGAAGGTGAGATGACAAAAGCAATTCATCACCAGTTGGTTCTGAGCTCTTAGTGAATGCAACAACAAAAGTAGAGAAGGAGAAAACGCTACCATTGGAGGAGTTCCACCAACAGAGCTTCTGCTTACTCTGTCCACATCTTAGGGGAAGATTTCAGGCTATCTGTTTTCTTTAAACCTGGTAATTTCTCCCCTTCTTTTCTCTCTATTGATAAATCAAAGGTACGATATTTCTCTGATGTTAATGACAGGTCGTGGCATTCCCAGTTCGGTTCCACTGTCGGTTGGTCGTGGATGAAAACTCCAGGGAGGGAGTCCAATGGCGACTCATTGATAGCCTAAATTTGACTCTATGACAACCTAACGGCCCTTTGAGCTACCGCTGGGTTATTGGAACAGAGTATGAGCTGGAGTTACACACCTCGAAGCTTTCCGTTGGCCCTCTAACTCTAAGTAGTGAAGCCGCCTCAATGAGCTGCCGACCAGATATCATCAACATTTGAGCTCACAGGACGATGAAGCCTGCCCGCCAACTCAGGGAAAAAAGTTGCCCTTATCTACTAGAAACATTTTTTTTTTTGCAATTTTTATATTTTTATTATATATTAAAATTGCATCATTTTCTATATTTTTTGGTATTAGCTGAAGTTTATGATCGTTTTGATTTTTTTATATTTTAATTATTTTTTTGTAATTTATGATTTTAGGTATTTTATGCAATTCTTATTATTTTATTTTTTGTTTTTTATAGTTTCTCATTTGAAATATATATATATATATATATATATATATATATTTGTGTATTTTATTCAATTTCTATTTTTTAAAATATATATTAAAATTTCCTTGTTTTTTGCAATTTTATTGTTTTTCTGTGTTTTTTTTTTGCAAATTTTGTGTTTTTATTATTTCTTTGTATTTTTTCTTTTTTCTGTAATTTTTTAATATTTATAGATTTATTTGGTATAATATTTATATTTTCTTAATATTTGAATTGGGTTAATGGGTCATATGGGTGGGGTCAAGGTGGGTTCTGACCCACCAATACCCAATAAATATGGGTGGCAATGGGTCGATGGGTCAATATGGGTGGGTTGGTACTCAACCCACACCCACCACAACCCAATCCACCCATTTGCCACCCTTACTCGTATGGCTGTTCACAGGTCGGGTTAGGTCAGTTTACTGGCGTTTTACCAACCGAACCGACCTGGTTGGTTTACCAAGAAATGAAACCGAAACCGACCCAGTACTAAGTAAAACCGACCTAGTCGGTTTGAATCGGTTTGGCTAAGTTTTGTGAATGATTCTCTCGGTGTGAACGTTAAAGGATTCAAGTCTAACAAAGCAAAGGCTGGATGCCTGGAAATTAAAAATGATTTGATGGATTAAAACTAATATTTTATATATCAAAAATTTTATATATAATATATATATTTCTGAAATAAAGCTGAAATATATATATTTCCACAAATATATATTAAAACTGAAATATATCATATATATATATAAAATATCTGAAATATATTATATATATAATATATATCTAAGTCGGTTCGGGTCCTACTTACTCGCACCGAAGAGACCCGGGTGCGAGTTTTGGTAATGGGATTTTTTAAAAACTTTTTTCTTCCAAAATCCCAATTTCACCTCGCAATTTTATATTAACTATTAAATGTGTAAAAGGGTAGAAAATGTCACGTGAAAATTCGAAAAAGAAGGGGTATTCACTCTTTTATTTTATAGCTTATAGGTAGTATAGACAATGTTCAGATAACCAAAATGGGGCATAGAACCGAAGAAGGGAGAGATTCACTGGTGAGAGGTTCGATTGGGGTCGAAAATGATGTGGCATATACACATATATACTATGTGTCATATAAATACTATATATGATATATTTTACAACTTCTAATGTAATTAAATATGGTGTATGAATGGTAAGTTTATCGTTAGGGAAATTCCCGATAGGTACCCTATACTTTGGCTCGAGTGCCAATTTAATATCCAAACTTTAAAATGTGACTATTCAATACCCAAACTTTCAAAACATGACAATCTAGTACCTACCGTTAATCACTAGTTATGTATATTACATGACCTCATGTGCGATTTAAGACTTGAAAATGTCAAAATTATCCTTGGAAATAAAACACATTGTTCATCATCTTCTTTCTCAAGAAAATGAAACATAGCCCAATTACTTAATAGGGGGAAATTTTAGCAACACACTCTTATCAACCACTTAAAATAGTTATAGCAAAGTAGGATCCAGGTTTTATAGGCTAATCACTTGTTCCCAATCACTTACAAGGGAAAATCACCATCCAAATCTATGTTTCATTGCTCAAAATCACTTATTTTCTACATACTTTCATTCATTAACCCATTTACTCACATATTCCCACATACAAATGAAACTTCTTTACAAATCGTAGATGGAGGGACAACACAGGAAACCCCAGACATAGACAAAGCACACAACAAACACATACTCTCAACCAATAACCCACTCCATCATTTTGCGCTTCTAAAATGCTTGAACCAGAGATTTCAATGGCTTTCACCTCGGGTTTCTTTTCCTCCTACTTGGGGATTGTTACAATCAACACTCCGTTCTCCATGGATGCCTTCACCTGATCCAACTTTGCATTTGTTGGCAATCTGAATCACCTCAAGAACTTGCCACTGCTTCTCTCCACCTGGTCCCATTTGTCGCTCTTTTCTTCATGCTCCCTACTCCTCTCTCCACTTATTTGCAGGACCCTTTCCCTCCTCTACTTCCACCTTCACTTCTTCCTTCTTTAGCCCAGGGAAATCATCCTTGAATACGTGTGCTTCTGGGGTTTCCTTCCAATCGATGCGGGCATTGACGAAGGCAGAGGTTTCTCGAGCCGAATCGGATGCAGAGCTGAGGGTTGTGCTGAAAGGGAAGCCCTCAAAAGGGTCCCAAATATCTAGGGAAAATGGGTCGAAGATGTTGCTTCATCGTCTGCCGAAGATGCTAGGAATGATAGACAGTCATTATAAACGCATGATTTAATAGAAACTTGGATGTTGAGCAGAGAATATTAGACCACCAATACAGGGGCGGAGCAGGAAATTATTATAAGGGGGGTCAAAAAATAAATGAAGTAGGGGGGTGGGGCGAACCATTGAGATGGAGAGTGGGGAGAGGAGAAAATTTACATGGAAAGCTATTTTTCAGTGGAGAGTTTCTAAACCATAGGGGGGCCATGGCTCCCTTAGGTCCCCTTAACTGTGCCCCTGCACGAACGGAATATCAGACTATGTTGCTAAAATCATTGGGAATGTGGCTTTCAGAGTAGAAACAATATACCACGGATGTATATAGAAATTACATGTTCAATTGAATCAGCTTGGACGACCTCCAGCCTCCAACTCAATGACCCACACCACTTTGTCTATTAACGGAGGACCCCTAGTTTTCCCTTCAAAGGCCGATGAGTGCTAAGATGTGTTTAAGTTGAAGGGCATTTTTTACACAATTGTTGCTTTATCAACCAGTAATGGAACCCTTGGGATCATCTATTAACGAGTGGTTGGTAAAGAAAATTATATAACATTTGAAGGGCATTTGTGTCTTTTCCCATAAACCTTAACGATTGATTAACAATAGATACTAGATTGTCGCATTTCAAAAGCTCAAGTACTAGATTGTTGCATTTTAAAGTTCAAATACTAAATTGGCACTCGACCTAAAGTACATAATACCTACCGGGAATTTTCTCTAATTTTTAAAACAAATGACTAAGGTTCAAGCCTTTTAATTTATATTTATTTTAAACATATACATAATAATTTAATATGTATAATAAATAATCATTAATTAATATGAGTAAAGAGGTGGATTAATGGTAATTGAATAATTTATAAAATTATTAACAACATTTTAAAATTTCAATGGACCGTGCGGATATCCCGCTGGCGCTGCGTGTGATTTTTGGCGGGGAAATACATCTTCTATATCAAGACTGTGTAAACTGTCGAAGTGTCAAGTGCAAGAAGTGAACTAGGGTTTCGTGTGAGATCAATGGAGAACTCCCGAAGAAGTAATAGAGGAATCGAAGAGAATACATTAGCTATCTTCGACTCCTCCGGAGTTAAGGACGCCCGAGACGTTAATGACGATAGTACTCCTCTAACTCTTATTCTTCCACTTTTGGTTCTTATGCTTTCTTCTTATGCTTGTCTTTCTTTTTACTGGAAAACAGGATTGGCATTTCTTGAAGCTGTTCGCGCTTCTTCGATCGTTCCACAAATTGGAACTGCTCCAACCAGGTATGTAAATGTCGATCATTTGTGTTTGTGTCTTGGTTTTCTACATGTCTGTCCCTGTGGCATCAAACTGTGATTTACGGGTTTTTCTTGTTGGACATTCATAACCATATATTTGTTCTTCTTGACTCTCTGTTCCTTTTTTTCTGGAAATAGTTTAATGTTGTTGGTAGGAATAACAGTGTAACATATTGTTCACAATGAAATCCCTCAATGATCATAACAGTCACTTGTTGTGCAATTAAGAGGGTCGAGATATTTTCCTTCATTTTCCCATGGATTTGTCTGAGAAGCTTCTGTATTATTTCTGGGCAACTAGGAGAAATTCTTATCATTCATTATTTTGATTTGTTTTGTCATCTTTTATTCAGCATTTCCTGAATTGCATCTTTCCATACATTCCAAACTGCCACTTTGGTTGATCTCCTTGTCAATGTAATTAATTGCTTTTGCAAAATTGGTGGAGCAGCAAAATGTTGAATGCAATATTTCAGATCCTCAAAGATGGAACATCTCTAGAACTGATCATGGCAAGTTACCAGCTTCTAATTGAATTAGAAAAGGTAATTAATTATTCTTTTGTTGCCCTTTGTTTTTTAAGCATAGCATTCAAAAGTTATTGACAATCATTTCCCTTTGGGCCTTTTCCTCTTCTTTTTCTTGATGTAGCGATTTCCTCGTGTTTATTTATCTAAGTTTGATATACCCAAATCATCTTCTGGTGCAACGGTTGAACTTATTGTGATTAATGAGGTATCTCTCTTCTTTTTCTTCAACCCGAGTTTGCTTTTCATGCACTAAAATTATACTCATCCCCATCTTTTTGGATATATTGTTGAATCCATTCTTCTTTTTCTCTTCTTTTTCCTACATGCATTTGATGCTATTACATTTCAATTGTATGTCAGGCTTGGTCTCCCTTTGCACTTGGCTCAGAAAGTGCTTATTCTGAAAGAAATTTGGCTAACAGAAGCTCGGATGAACTGCTTGATTCCTTGGTGAGCTGATCTGCTACATTTTGTGATTTTTCTCTAATTTCACCATGTGGTATTCATTGGTTGTAAAATCAACTACATGAGCACGATTAATTGAGTAATTGATATACTCCGAAGAAACAGTACCATTAAGGGGTTCAAATATTGGTAAACACATATAATTTATCAAAAAAAAAACAGTACGATTAAGGGAACCATTTATTCCACCATTGAGAAAAACAAAATCTGTTGTATTCTGAATCTTCTAACAACATCTGTTGTATTCTCTGTTGCCCCTTTTCTGTTGTGCCCACAAGATATATGTTGATCTTCATCAGTGAGGTGCTCAGTGAAGATTCCACTTGCTTGAAAAAGCAGGGCAAACCATGTTCCCCTCACATGAAGGCCCATAAGAAGAATACTCCATTTTCACCTTGCCTCCACTGGTGGAAATCGATTGGTCTTCATCATGTGAACACAAAAGCAGAACAAATCAGAGTTGAATAACAAATGATCTGGATTCAGCTTTAACATATCTTATATGCATTTAGATGAGAAGCATGAGATATAACATCAGAGTTGAATAACAAATGATCTGGATTCAGCTTTAACATATCTTATATGCATTTAGATGAGAAGCATGAGATATAACATCCATGTTTACAATCACATTCTTATAAGTCCTGTTTATAGAAATTAACGCCAAAGTGAAAAAATGTAGGTAATATTCCAGTGGTAATTCTACTGCTTTGTGGTCTCATTGGTTTCAAGAATGTCTTTATGCTTGGGCTTAAGTGTTCAATCTTCAGTGGTTGTTACTGATGATGGAGAGGAGAGAAGAGATCAAAATGCCTTCCAATTACATTAGGATATAGCACATTTTTTAAATACATGGAACTCTATCTAATGATTTTCTCATCATATGGCATTATCACATTCAAAGGCTATAGCTTGGTACAATGGCAAGGTCTTGAACTGGAAAGCATGAGAATGTGGGTTCTAACTTAAAAGCAGCCACTTTGTAAAAAAATGCCTAGGGTCAGGTCTGCATCCAATAAAACCCTTCCAAGAGGACCAAAATTGGCAAATGGCCCTTGGTATTACCATATGCATACTTATGCATTTTTGTTTCTACTTTGGTAATACATGCCGTCTTGTATGCTTTCTTCATAGTAAAGAGAATCATCTGGAATTACAAAGGAACTAATACTGGTTACTGGAATTAGCATATGGATATGTTTATTCCAGGCATGTTGAAGAAAATTTTGTCATTTCAATGCATTCTTAGATTCATAGTCTTCCTGATTTTGAATGGTTCTGGAGGGCTAGACATTTAGAAACTAGTGAAATAACCATCTGAATGATGACATACTGTTGAGTGTTGACATATGTTACTCTACTTTCTTTCTTCCCATAGAAAATATTGATGTCTGTGATACTTTAAAGGTTTAACCCTCCATGTGGAAATTCAATCTTAGTGGTGGGAAGGCTCTGATTTTAGCTTTTTTACCTTTTTTGAAGTTTCTCTAATTTAGACCATTCTCACTCCCAGGGGTTTTCTCTTTTACTACAAGGCATTGCTCAGCTCTATAATGAAATGAATTTGCAAGTTCTTGACACAAAGGTTTGTAGATACTTATGTCCAAATTATTGTAGCCTTGTAGATTGTATTGAGACTAAACATATTTTTATATGGTATGCATGCTATTTGTTGTAAGAATTGAAGTTAAATATCCATTTTATTTGCTTGTTTGGCTATATACACATGCACAAATTATGAAATTAATGTGATGTGCATAATGTTCTCATCATTGGTTAGTATTTCTTTATCCCTGGTTTCTTTTATTTGTCTTGTGCCATAGTATTCTTCTTTGGCTATGCCCAATCACTAATAACATTTTTTTTTTTCATTTTGTGGCCATTGTTAGTCATTGTATATTTGGCATTTTCTATTGTTTCTAAGCAGAGTAAACATTGAGGCAGTTTTATCTTGGGAAATGGTATATTCAGGTATCTAGTGATTAGTGATTACATGTGTTTGGCACACCGACCTTTAGAAATCTTGGCACAGGAATATATTAAATTACAATAAAACTCTGAATATAGTAAAAAATGAAAGGATGAAGAACTTGGAAATTCAAACTATTGGTACCTTAGTGAGTTTCTTAGTTTCTCATTACATTTTGTCTTGGACTTAAAAGTGCCAACCTTTTAAACTCCAGAGTCCAACATATCAGCTTTTTACAAGAACTACCATGCCAATTATTGACATGAAGTCCAAGTGTTGGAGAACTAGACCCATTATTTATTGAGGCTCCGGGTAACACTATGGAAGGCTAAACTGAGATGGCTCAGATGTAGAAAGGACACACAGATATAAGCTGTTCAGGACAGGGAAGTCAGGAAATTAGACTAATGGAACCCCTGGTTGATGGGGGCACAGGGTGTATCAGATAATGCATCTGGACCAGTTAAAGTACCTTGTTTTTTAATGACTACTGTCATGTTGCTTCAGGTCGGTCGTTGCCAATACACTATCCATGATTCCGTGTTCAGTATAGATTTTTTTGATAGGAAACGGTAACTTTCATTAGAAAAAACCAGAAGAACAACTGTCACTTTCTAAAGTAAAAGGTGACCCCTGAATAACATATAACTTACAACACTGCACAAAACAAAACCTCCCGATTCACCCCTTGTTTTGCTAGGTTGTCAGCTAAAGCATTTGCTGACCTCCTAGACCAATACACTTGTGCACCCAGCTCCCTTGTGAGGCTCAGTAATTCCCTTACATGTCTAAGGGACCATGTTCCCAAACTATTTGATTGCAGCCAACCTACTACTAATTTTGAATCCCCCTCCACTTCTAACTGTTGAAAACCAAATTGCTTGGCCCATCTGAGCCCCTGGAGGAGAGCCAATACTTCAGCTCTAAGCGAATCCCCCAAGCCTATTGGACCAGAATACATAGTTAGGATTTTTTCCTTCCACATCTCTAAACACACCCCCTATTCCAGAAGGTCCAGGGTTTCCATGAGAGCTGCCATCAAAGTTCAGTTTGACATTACACTGCAAAGGAGGGGACGTAGAAGACCTTGCTAAAATACTCCAGCCTCTAGTCAAATCATCTCTAGAGACATCCTTGAACAAGTCAAGAGTTTTCAGCCAATGTACTGCCTTGATGGTGATCTAGAAGAAGTTGGGCCTTTAATAGACATACTTGCTACTGTCATGTTGCTTTAGGTTGGTTCATTCTATCTTTGGGGAAGGTTGGAGATGATAATATTCATTCCTAGAAAAAACAAATCCGGATTCCTTATTGCTTGTTTTGATTTGTGAAAAATGTATGGGAAACCATGATGGAGTAAAAAGAGAAAAATATGTGTTCGTTAATGTGGTTGATTTTGTTTTCATTTGTTTCCAAAATTTCCATGTCAGCAAGAAAAAAAAACATGTTCGTTAACTTTGTTTTGTTTCCAAAAACAAGGCATGTTTTTGAAAGCAACAAAATTCTGTTTTCTAAAACAAAAACAAATTGGGGTCTCTAATCTCTTGTATGGTGAGTCACAAGTTCTCCATCTCCCACGTCTGTAGCTTCACTCAATCCCGATAGATACAATGGAGTTCTCACCGTGAGAAAGCCACAAAGCAGGGGTTGGGGATATTAAGGAATATTTTAATCAGACTTTTTTTTTGTTAATTTAATAATTTATTTTTGGGTTTTGTCCCAAGGAGCGCAAGGGGTTGGGTAAGCTTATAAGCCATTTATATACCTTGCTATCAATAAGGTTAGAATAAGTTAGAGGTGTAAATCAGATCATGCCACGTTGGCCCGTAGGCCATGCTGGGTCCTACTTGTCTCCTTTAGGATACTTTAGAGGTTAAGCCTGGCATGGCCCATGGCGAGCCTAGTCTGGGCTGGGCCATGGGCTAGACCAGGCCATTAAAGGCATATTTTTTTTGTAAAAAATTTGAAAAAACAATGAAAGTTTTTAAATAAATTAATAGACTAGACAAAAAATTGGAAAAAAATCTTAAAATTTTGTTTTATATGAATTTTGATGTACACAATTGTTTATATACGAAATAATAAAATAAAAAAAAATTACAATACGATTGGAATAAAATAGTATGATAAAATTGAAAATAAAAATTTATTTACATATATTAATATATTATATAATTATTATTATATTTACATATACATATATATGGGCCGTGTCGGCCTGCAGTCCTGAAAACCCAAGCCCGACACGACTCGATTTACAACTCTAGATTAGGCACAAGTCCTTTTTGAGAAAAAAAATGAAAAGGAAAAGATATACCATTGGATTAGAATCTATGTACAAATATTATATGATTTATAAAGCATAATATCAAATCACCAATGGAAAACATGTTTTTGAAACTAGAAATTCAAGAACATGTTTTTAGTTTCAGTTTTGAAAGCAAAAAACAAATTCGCAATCAAGAACCTCTTTTCTTTATTTTTGTTTTCAAAAACGACCTGTTTCCAAACCAGCTGGTTTTGATTTGTTTTTGGAAACGAAAACAAGAAAACAATTCATGTTGTAGATCACCCCCTTAGACTTTGATTTGTATGGGTGGTACTGGTATCTTACACCTTGGTGTATATCTTTCTTCTTCTTTAATAAAATTTTTCTTTTTTTTTTAATCTATTACAAAAAAAAAATAGATCTTTTGCAATCCTCTTTATACAAAGAATATGTGTCTCCATTGTACTTGGAAGGTTGATCATTTCTTTTATTTGTGTGTGTGTGTGTGTTTGTTATGCTAATGAAATAAAGTAACTTATTTTAAGTTTGCTGTTCTTGTGGTCTAGTTTTCACAAAATGGTTAGATCTCATGCTATCTTATTTTATTAAGCAAGCATGACTTGTATATTCTTTAATGATTTCATTGCAGTCCTTGGGGAACATGTTGTTGTTTCAGTTTCTTGTTAATGTTCTTGAAGGGGATTTCTTACCTCGTAATACAATATATAATGGTAAGCCAGTTTTCCAACTCTGATTTGATGCTTATGGTATTTGAACCTCTGTTGCTAGACTGTGGTAGTTGGCCATGCTAAAGTGCTTTACATTGTTGCAATGCAGAAACCAAGAATTGGGTCTTTCTCAGAGAATCCTTGCTCAGCATGCTTCTGGTATCCTCTTCACCAGTTCACCTTGAGAGTTATATATATTTAGTTACTATTTAAGTGCTATTATATGCTAAGTCTTCTATTATCTTCTTTTACTTGGAAATTTAGTTTTTCTTGGTCCCATTTCTCTACTTACTGGAGAAATGGCAAAGTTTTTTGAAGATTTGTTACATTCTGCAGGGTTCAAGAAGGATAAGCTACAAAAGCCTAATCAAGGACTGCCTGTCGATAATATCTGAAAGATGCCGAAAAGATTTGGAAAATTCATCAATAAAAACAGTAGACAATAGTGATGCTGCTGCTTTGGGAATTGCCTTGGCTGAACTAGAAAGAGGAACTTGTATTGCTGTGCAGAAACTCTTGGTGCTGGCAAGTTTCATTTCTAGTCCTTGGTTGAGTGATCTCCATGATAAGTTCCACTAATAAATTCCTCTAATGATCATTGCTTCATTTTTTTCTTTCTAGATCATGGAACTTGATAAGTCAAAGAAGCAAGCAGATATGCAAGGTTCTACTTCCAGATCTGATGGTTCTAGGTACTTGTTAGAGCTAGCCGAATAAGGGTAGATTAGTCATTTTATTTCTGTTAAGTTATGTGCTTATGTGGCAGTCTTAATAGAGACTTCCTGTCCCATACTTAAGTGGGGGTAGTTTAGTCTTTGTACTACTAATTAGAGGCTAATCCATATTAAGGGTCGACTGATAGGGTTTAATCTATCAAGTTCGACTGTTCTCTTCATCTTCTTCTTCTTCTTCTCTTCTCCTGGTTCGAACTACTGTAGTTACAGAACAAACATGGTATTAGAGCAGGGCGTTGCTCTCTAAATCTCCTCACAGATTCGTGACCTCATTTTTTTTCTTCTTTCTGGGCTGAAAAATGAAGAACACAGATTCGACCTAGGTCTAAGAACACCTTAGTTCTTCTTTCTCTGCATAGAACCTGACTTTTTTCAAGAGAACAACTTCAGAAGTGGATGGTCAACTGAAGCTCTCCATCGAAGGTTGGTTACCTCCTTTTTTTTTGTGCTGTTGGTATTTCTGGGTTGAAAGCCTTCAAAATCTGCGGGGACTGATAAGAACCTAGAGAACTAGGTTGTTTGTAGCCTTGATTCTTGGAAAAAAGGTCCAAGAACAGGCTGTGTTTACAGTGGCCAAATGGTGTAAGGGTATGTTTGACCCCTTTTTTTTGTTGGTCTGTAGTTGTTTTGAAGCCCGTGTTGGTCACGAGTGACCTGAATTGAATGACAGGTTACTGCAGTGGCAGTAGTTGATGTTTTCTTTGGATTTGTAGTGCCCTCTGAAAAGGTTAGACAGATCTGTACCATGTGTGACAGCTATGGTTGTGTGGTGGTGCTTGTGATGATCAATCTCTATTGAGCAGCTTCAAGAGGGCTTGTATGCAGTCAGTGAGTTGCAGAATTAATGTCAGTGTGATTCATGATTTTGTGAAATTAGTAGTGGTGTGAACAAGAACAAAAGTTTGTGTACCTATCAACTGTGTTTGGGGACTGCTGTAGTGTTTGGAACATCAAACTCCTGACAACAGTACTTAGTTGGCTACCGGGAATTCATATTAGAAGTAGCATTGGAAGAGCATCATGGCAGCAACTTGAGATGGTCGTAGTGATCAGAAAC